TGTTACTTTATATAACATCTTTCAATAACTCACTGTTTCTTTATATAACATCTTTCAATAACTCACTGTTTCTTTATATAACATCTTTCAATAACTCACTGTTTCAAACATAAAAGTCAAGTTGGAAGAAACAATTGAGGCAACCTTGTAATCTATTATTACTTTTATTATTAATAGTAGTATTAATATCATTATTATTATAAGATGTGCAACAACGTACAAACAGCAACTCTTTATTTTCATTTGCTGGAATCAAACACAGAAGTCTGAAGAAACAAATTGGGGAACATTGGTCCACACAAATCCAATAGATACAACTGAAAAAAAATGTTAATTATAAGCATACGTTTGAAATTATGATATATATTTATCCAAATAACGTTTTCTTGTACAGATTTTAATTATAATACATTCCTACGAGTTTTCCCAATCTACTTTTTTAAAATATGGTCTTAACTGTAAAATAAAATGTTGATAAAACTAAACATACTCCGAGCTCAGGGATCTATGTTACGAAAGGTGCTTATATGTTTTGGAGATTTGTACAGCTACAAACAAAGTATGTTGCACAATTAAAGTATACAAAATTTCCATTATGCACTGTACATTCATTACTGAAGTTAAACTCCAGTGTACAATAAATGTTCTAGTTTGTAGCTCAACAGTGTGTGTTAATCAAGACTAATGAGTAGGTCTATATAACTTTAAATGTTGGATTAACTTTACTAGAAGCTTGTCAGAGTTCTTCAGTATAATACTTCTGCTTTCGGTGTTTTCTAATACTTTATCAAGCCTAAGTTTTAATAAGCTTTGATAATTACGAACAGTCCATGCAAATATGTTCATTGGCATGATTAAAACGGGCAAAAATATTCCAAGTAATATTTTACAACAAGACTTAAAATGCTTACTTATGGTAAAATTACCCAAATTAATTTTTAATGCATTTTGTTTGGACATATTTTCGTCAATTATTGGAAAACTATTTTGTATTAGCAACATTAGATTTACCATTATTTTATAAGTAAACCCAAGTAATAAATAAAAGCAACTACAATATATAATATAATAAAGTCGAAGTATGATATAAATCGCTATTATGAGATAGGAATTGTGGTCAAAGTTGTGGCCAATCGATCTTTAAAAAAAATGTTGGTCATTAACTCAATTTGAACGAAAAAAAATCATATGTTATGTGGTTAAGATTTTACTTAAGATTCTTTGGAAGCTAAGATTACTTATTTCTCTGTCCTTTTCTTTCTTTTAGGGTAAGAGTAGAATTTTACGTAAATGAAAACACTCTGAAAGAACGACTGCAGCTATTTTTTATAAAAAATCAGCGTTCAAGTAAGTAACAAAATCATTTCTTACATCTCTAATAATAAGGTTTACTCTAACAACTATCTTAAGGATATAGATTGAATAAAAATCTAACTTAACACTCCATCGGAATATGAAATTATTATTTTTAACCTTTATGTTATACTGTGTTAATTACTGTTGCATAATAGTATTTGTAACGTTACGCAGTAGTATAAGCATAAAATTAAAAGTTACAAGGGAAGAAAATCAAAATATCGTTTTAACAATTTCTAGTTCTTTCAATTTAAAAAAACATCTGGTATACACTAGCAATAAATATGGAAATAATATAAACATGTGCATTCAGTAATTCGTAGCAAAAAAGGTTCACTTTTTTGTACATTACATTTCATGTAGTTGTATGCATATTACAGTTAAAGCGCAATAATTGTTTTAGCAATTCTAATAACAACGGTTTTTTGAAAAGTGTCCATTATGATTTCCCAAGTTCCTAAAATGAAAATAAGCTTTGTTACGAAACTGGGGTCTAGCATGACATGATGGCGCTCGAGTCGCAGTGTGAAGGTCGTGAGTTCGAATCCCTGTCACTGATAATGCTCGCTCTTTATGTTTGCCGTCTAGGCCAGCCACCCGGAAGTAAAAATTCTTGGTTTACAAAATTATCGGCCGACCCCAAACTAGTTGGGATTAAGGTCGTTACAGAGAGGAAGAGGATAGAACCTGGAGATATAGGTGGTATAGCCTCAAAGGTTGGTCTCTAGATAAGAAGTAATAAAAAAGGCAGTCGACATGATAGTCCAAACTTACATTTATATTCCACTTTAGTGATACAGGAAATAGATTAGCAAAATGTTAGTGCAAAGTTAAGTGATCTGACGGTACACAGTGTTTAGGAACTAAAACAAACTTTGTTTTCGTCCTCTTCATCTGAGTTTTTCGTATTTAATGTTTGTTTTCTAAACATAGAGGATTTGCTATTCAAGTATGGTGCTATCCTTTAGCTCCACATAAGAAGCATATAAATAAAATTGTGTTATTTTGTTTATTTATAGATACCAACAAAATCTTATTGTAAAACCAGTGTCCTTATCCATTCATATAATTTGTCATGTGATTCTGTATTTCAGAATCTGGATGCTGCCTTGTGACATGAGTGTGAAAGTTTTTGTTTTACTCTTTTGGATGCATAAATAATGAATTGGCTGTGTCACAGAACATAGGTGGATTTGAAGAAATAGATCAAATACAGAAATCTTTGTATAAGATCAGAAGCATTACTGGTTTCTAAATAATATGCAAGTAAAATACTTTCACTCAGTTGGTAAATAAATATTAGTTCCTTTGAAATGCCAGTCAAACGATCGGCAATCCTACAAGCGATGAAATCATTCACACACAATCCAAAATTCCATTGAAGTAACTTTTTCTCTGGATGTTATGTGTACCTGTAAATGAAAAACGAAACATCTTATTTTGTCTCACAGTTTTATAAACTATTCTATTTATAAACTAGCCTAAGCTATTCATGGGCACAAACACATGCTGTATGGCCGTGTCTTATCAGCAAAATTGTGTGATTCATGTGTCATTCTGTTGAACCAATTAAGTACAGAACCATAAACGAAAATAATTCATTCGATCACAATATTAGTTTCAATATGGAAAAGGAAAAAAAAACTAGAAAATTAGACTGCCTAAAGGATTACTGACTTAAGAGATCAATATCACATAGATTCAATTAAAAATGTAATTATAACATGAAACTAGTTCCATCTGCTTTAGCCACATACCCTATTATGCAAAGCTAGCTTACATTCAAGTACAAAAAATATACAAAAGCAAAAAAAAACATCCTTCATTATTTAGTATAAGGAATCTTTTTACACGATGGATTACCAGCCTTTATGTATGCAAATCTGATGTAAAGTCATGTTGGATTAAAGTGTCAAATCCAGTAGAACTCTTACTGATGCAAAGATATTCAAGGGTTATATTTTTCAAAGATTTGGTTGATTGTTCTTGAAATTTTATGTTAAATTACTGTACATACCCGACATTGAGACTAAACGCTGTTACATGGGTTTAATATTTTAGAAATTTAGTAAACTCGCATAAATTTTGTATTCTTTTTCCATATTACATAAACTTTGTATTTCAATAATATGCGAACTTTGTGTAATTTGAATACTTTAATAACATTTATTTTATTTTCGTTATATAACAACTCCCCTTCTGTATAGTAAATTAAGATGCCTAGTTTAAAATTTTGCTCTCTCAGAAAACGAACAGTAGCTGATAGTTTATTTCTTTGTTTGAGATAATTGGGTGCGACAAAACAGTTGATGAAGTAGTAATAAAATCCAACAAACCTTAACATCTCATTTACGTACCTCCAACTCAAATTTGATCTCACCAGATGACTTTTCACTTCACCTTTTTTTTTTCTCAATGGGTAGATGTAGACTTTCACTTGAGCTTTTTTCCTTGTCTCAATGTGTAGATGTAGACTTTCACTTGAGCTTTTATACTTGTCTCAATGGGTAGATGTAGACTTTCACTTGAGCTTTTTTCCTTGTCTCAATGTGTAGATGTAGACTTTCACTTGAGCTTTTATACTTGTCTCAATGTGTAGATGTAGACTTTCACTTGAGCTTTTTTACTTGTCTCAATGGGTAGATCTAGACTTTTAGTTTACTTCCTGGACTGCAAATATAATCTCAAAGAATAAAATAAATTGTTTTGATTTCAGTGGAACAACTTGAATGTTAAGTTCATATTTGGTAAAAATATATCTTAAATTTCATAAAATTCAGTATTAAGTAATCCAATTCGTTGGTTTGGTTAGTAAATTCAAAGAAAGCAAAGTATGTTTTTAACCTATTATTTTTTAAGATTTTGTACTTTCTTAAAAGAATATTAGTTCAAAAAATACTTTTTTGCTGGAACCAATTTTTTTTTATCCGCTTTATAAAGACACTCAATTTAAAACTAGTTCTGAATCTGTGTAAATGGTCCGAGAATAATCTTGCATTTCGTAATAAACTTGTCAGAATTCTGATGGAAATGTGGTAAAATTAAATAAATACATTTTAAAGATGTTTGTCAGGTTTTAAAATCAATTGCGATTAATGGTTTTGTCTTCGAAACACCATATTTTCTTCAAAAGAGTTACGTAACAGCCGGAAATCCCTATTAAGTTTTCCCCAAGGAAATAAAAAACAAACGAACGTTCACAAGACATTCCACTAAGAATACTTGTTTCGTCGTGATCGATATAACACATTATTTAAACTCTCAAAATGAAATCAAGTATCTGCATAATATAAATTATTATAATAAAAGAAACACAGAGAGAATCTGGAGTACTTTTGGGGCTAATTAATACATATTTAAAATTGTGTGCTGTGATGTTTACATGACATTTTAATTTTTTAGACATATATCATGAATATTTTTTGTTTTAGCACTAATCCACACAGCAGGCTTTCTGCGCTCTGTCCACCACAGTGAATCGTACCCCAAATTTGAGCGTTTTAAGTCTATAAACTTACTGATGACCCACTGGGTAGTATTATGAATGTTTGCTTTTAGCTTTTTAACTATTGCATTATATTGTCGATACTGTATCTTATAATTGAACATTCACTTTTTATCCAGGACAGTTTCTTTGAAAAATAGTGTATTTATGTTAGCAATTAATTACAAATCCCATATAGAAGTATTTTGACACTCAAAAATAAAACTTATAGACCTCTATCAAAATACAAAGTCATTAACAAGAATATGCGTTTAATCATCCAAGCTGCTGATTTTGTTCCTGTGTTTTTAGACTGTTACATCTCAGGTCAACTATCAGATCATTAATCACTTTCGTATACTATGCAGCAAAAGCTCCTTTATATTTCAGGTAGGAAACAGGAAAATAGACAAAAACCATAAACGAAGAAATTGAATGTCAAGTACGAATAATATCTTAAAACTATAATAGGGTATCTTGTTAAAGTAATATGATAATCTATATGGCAGTCCAAAAGTTAGTTGTCTTAGAGCACTGTACCAATTATGTTTGATTTTCAACTGTTTCAGATTAATATACGAACATATATATATATATATATATA